TCCCCGACTATACAGTTTTTTGACAGTTTTTCACCCCAAATCCGGTCAAATGACACTTTAGAATTTTTTCACTGTGATATTAAAGTTTAGCGCCCCAAATTGGTAAAACTAGATTTTTAGTTGCTCAAACTCGCAAAAAATGAGTCTCTATTTCCAATTTCAATAATGTTGTATCCTAGTTATCTTAACAATAGTATATATATTATAAAAATTCACTATTCACTATAACTATTCCTAGACTTGTTCTTAACTCATCCAATAGAGAAGAACCTAGTGCTAAAACTTGACCATATTATTCAAGAGTCGTATTAGAGACAGTGAACACAGTATAATTTTACATAGGTAACTGGTAGAAACATTGTAGTCTAGATAAAAGCCTCGACAATGTTACAGATTTTAAACACAGTTCAAATCTGCCATATCCAAGTCGATGCACATGTCTTGCGTTTAAATTCTATTAATTTAGGGCTGACGAGTTATGTAAAGCATCTCCAGCGTCCTAAAATAACACCTATTATATATAATCAATAAATACTCGTAGTAGTCCAATTATTCGATCAAACATGTACAGCAAAATAATGCCGCATGTTGCTGGTTGTACAGCTGAAATATTGCCGGTTTAGATGCTCCATTATCTGGTGAAGCAATTCGGAAAACCGATGCACTATAAGAACTTTATAATGAAGGAACCGCACAAAGTAAGCAATTTGACGTACTTACGAGTGGTATAATTGGTTGGCTTTGCAATTGGTTAAAGTTGCCTCTGTCCTTTCTCACCGAGTTCGACGCTATCTCAACTACGAGACCGAAATAGAGCGTCTGCGACAAATTTCTCTCAATTAGTTCCGAGTTAGAAACATTTAGCTGGTAAAGACAATGGAGCTAGCATGATTGTGTAATTAAGGGTCATGTTTATAGACGTTCCTCGAAGGCTGAATGCCGTTTGAGGTATGACTCTTCTTGGACTTTGAACAAACAATAACGCTTATTTCCGTTTAAAGTTGTCATTTTGAAAATCTTCAAAATGGAACTCTTAAGAATCATGAGGATTTGAAAAAAATTTTAAATTTTGAAAATTTTGAAAATTGTGATAGTTTAGAAAATTTAAATTACTGAAAATTCTGAAAATTTTGAAAATTCTGAAAATTGTTTGAAAGTAATAAAAAGATTTTGACAATTTTGGGGATTTTGAATATTTTGGGAATATTGAAAATTTTTGAAATTGCGAATGTTTTGAAAATTTTTTCAAATTGTGAAAATTGAGAATTTTGAAAGTATTGAAAACTGTAAATTATGAATTGACTTTTTCAAGCTATACAAAATTTTGAGTTTTTCTAAAGTGCAGCCCTTGCACAGTGACAATAACAAATATTAGCCTGGCATGAGCCATTTTGTAGGAGTTTTCGACATCACAAGGATTCAACCAAATAATGCATAGAACGATGTCTAGCAGCATATCCACCACGTGTCCTCATTTAAAAGCATTCAGCGCAAAATTGTATCTATCCCGACAGCCATCATAAGCCGTGCTAGCTTCCGTATGCGTCCAGAATGAGCGATGCCCGAAAGAATGGAGAAGCGAGAATGTTTCTCTCCGCAGCTATCATAATATTAGCCCTGAGAAACATTAACTTGATTCATGTACAGAATTTTAAACGTGAACCTCACAGCGGTCGTGAAGATAACAGGGCATACAGCACCTGATGCGAAGCCACGGAAGAGTTGTTCACGGTTGGCCGTCGATAGTAGGGTAACTGAAGATTTTGAAAGATATTGAAAGTGTTGAATATGTTTAAAATGTTGAAAATGTTGAAAATGTCGAAAATGTTGAAAATGTTGAAATTGTTCAAAATATTGAAAATGTTGAAAATGTTGAAAATGCTGAAATGTTGAAAATGTTGAAAATGTTGAAAATGTTGAAAATGTTGAAAATGTTGAAAATGTTGAAAATGTTGAAAATGTTGAAAATGTTGAAAATGTTGATAATGTTGAAAATGTTGAAAATGTTGAAAATGTTGAAAATGTTGGAATAGTTGAAAAAGTTGAAAATGTTGAAAAAGTTGAAAATGTTGAAAATGTTGAAAATGTTGAAAACGTTGAAAACGTTGAAAATGTTGAAAATGTCGAAAATGCTGAAAATGTTGAAAATGTTGAAAATGTCGAAAATGTTGTAAATATTGAAGATGTTGAAAATTTTGAAAATGTTGAAAATTTTGAAAATGTTGATAATGTTGAAAATGTTGGAAATGCTGGAAATCTTGAAAATGTTGTATATGTTGAAAATGATGTAAATGTTGAAAATGTTGAAAACGTTGAAAACTTTGAAAACTTTGAAATTGATGAAACTGTTGAAAATGATGAAAATGTTGAAAATGTTGAAAGTGTTGTAAATGTTGAAAATGTTGAAAATGTAACTGTTGAAAATGTTGAAAACATTGAAAATGTCGAAAATGCTGAAAACGTTGAAAATGTTGAAAATGTTGAAAATGTTGAAAATGTTTTAATGTTGAAAATGTTGAAGATGTTGAGAATGTTGAAAATTTTGAAAATGTTGGAAATGTTGAAAATGTCGAAAATGTTGAAAACGTTGAAAACGTTGAAAACGTTGAAAACTTTGAAAATATTGAAACTGAAAAATTTTGAATCCTCAGCGAATCGAAAGGATCGGTTCGGGGTCCGGAATCGACAAGATGGAATCCAATCATTAAAACGAACGGACGGCTCAGCTATGGTGTAGTAGCCTCATGAACAAAAAGTCAAGAATTCGTTCAACTAAAATTATCTGTGAAATAAGGGGCAATTTAAGAACAAATGCAGGCTGCAGTAAGACAGCGACTGAAACTATTCCCTCTGACAGCTGATATATCGGGATCTCCTTCTGTCTAGCCCGTTACTTTTTAGATCCCAGCTATTTCCTGGATACCGTAGCACAGACCGGTGAAATGATTTATCTCCTGGATATCCATCCAACGTGGCGCGGCGTCCAGAAACGATGGAATTTTCCATTTTTATTAGGTTTGCGAGCCATTTCTCCCTTAGTTCGTGGTTATTATATTTTTTCGGAGTTAATTCCGCTCTTTTGCTTTATTGGACACGGGGAATTTATGGTATCGATATCGTGCAGAAGTTGTGGCCTACAGGGTGGACATCAAAATTCAACAGCTGTTTTACAACCTTTCATTCAACCTGTCCAGTGCTAACACATCAAAAAATCGCGGTAGACTCACAAAATGTACGTTAGATTCGTCGTCTATTTCGACTCTTTTGATTGTATTCTATAATAAATGTTATTATGTTCAACTACTGTTAAAATAACAAACGTCATTCAAAATTTCATATAGCTGTTACCGCACAATATCGATTTATCGTTATATGATTTACGTCTATCGAAATGAGCTGTGATATAAATTCACTTCTTTCGACGTCTAACGTATGTGAGAGACAAATATCGCGTTTCTTCCGGGTTATAATCCGGTGCTGAACCTTTCAACTAGGAAATGTTGATAAATCGTAATCACGATAGCCTGTCAGAAAGCAAAAGGCAGAGAATAAAAAACATTTTATGAAGAACCGATAGCGATTTCGGGAATTTCTGCTGACAGATGCTGAATTAGTTCTGTCACAGCATTCGGTCAAATGACTTGATAGGAGAAACCTCTTCATAGGATGAGAGATGGTTGCTCGTTTGATACGCACGCAGTGGTCTAGAACACCCAAAACGCTGGCCAAAAGACAAGAAATGAAGTAATGCAAATAGGTGAAACTCATTATGTATTTAAAAGTTGATACTAGTTTGCCATAAAAACAAAACTGTGTTCACACCACCTTCTATATGACAGATCGTCAAACTTGAAGTTGGTACCAATTTTCAAAATCCACGACTACCAAAAAAGATCGAATCTTGTAGGATTTCTATTTTTTCAAATTTTCAAAGTTTCCGAAATTTAAAGTTCTTGAAATTTTCAAAATTTTCAGAATTTTCAGTGTATTCAAAATTCTCAAACTTCTCGAGATTTTCAAAAGTTTCAAGATGGAAATTTTCTAAATTCTAACAAATTTTCGATATTTCCAAAATTTTCATAATTTCCGCAGGTTTCAAATTTTCGCAATTTCCAAATTTTCAAAATGTTCTCAACTTAAGAATTTTCAAAATTACCATTATTTTCAATTTTTTGGAATTTCGAAAATTTTTGAAATCAAAACAATTACCGAATTTACTAAATGTTCAAAATCTTCAAAATTGTCTAAATTTTGATTATTTCGGAAATTTCGAGAATGTTTAAAATGGTGAACATTTTGTTGATCTGGGAATTTTGACGCTTTAAAATTTTTTAAATCTGTAAATTTTTCAAAATATTTCGATGTATCGAGAATTTTGGATATTTTGAAAATTTTGGAAATTATGAAAACATCGAAATTTTCTTAATTTGGGAAATTTTGAGAATTTGAAAATCTAGAAATGTCTGCAAATTTCGAAAACTTGGAAATTTTGAAAATTATTTTGGATATATCGAAGTTTTTGGATGTTTTTTTTGGAAATTCTGAAAAATTGTAAATTTCTGTGAGTTTGGGAGTTTCGGAATTTTGAAAATACTGGTAATTTTTAAAACTTGGAAAATTTAAAAAAATTATTTTGAAAATCTATTATTAAGAAGCTGCTGATCTCAGTGATAGAGTCAATCTACTTGACGCCATTCTCTCATAGTTTGAGAGACATTTTACAAGAAATCGACTATTCTCATTAGATCCCGTACTACGTAAAAATGTCTTCTCATTGGTTGATGAGTGAAATTCGGCCTGATATTTTCTAAATCATAGATCGAATATTCATCCACAGGCTCCGGAACTAAAACACGAAAGAAAAATCGCCGAACCAAAGACATTTTTCACCTAAATGAATAGAAATCGTCGGGTTGACGTGTCATTTTTATTGGAAAGGCAGGCGAGCGGTTAGAAATGTGGAACAAACAGTTTTCCGTAGCAGGCGAGACAAAAAAACGATGGCATTGAGTAATGGAGTTGAGATTAGTAAGTGAGCAGTTTGGGATAATCTGTTTTGCCATCGGAGCTTCAGTAAGAGCCAGTGAAGACTTTTTCAACGACTAATTTCTGAACAGTTATCGCCAACTGGAGGAAATTAGCTAAAAAATACTGGTTCTTGTATGGCATCTGAGAACAATACTCTGGCTAATATTAATTTGTCATACGAGAGACAGCACCTATTTAACCAGAGCTGACAGCGATACAGGTGGTCTCAAATGGAAGACTCATGTTGTCCCTATTTTTGGTACATGTGTCGCTGTAAAATGGAAAAGCACCTTTACGAGTTCAAGAGGTTATTAGATATGAAACTACGAATTGTACACAACCGCAAGCCTAATAACAGTGTTCGCTGCCTACTTCAAACCCCTCAAGCTGAATATGACGTGTCACAGACCAATAAACATGTCGTAATGCTGCACTAATAACACCAATCAACACACGAGTTCTCTACAGAACACGCACAGCAAAAGTACACAGAGCGTAGCTGCATTTCTAAATTGAACCTTAAAGGAGTGTGTACACGGAATTTGGAATTACTGGAAGACGCCATAGATCCTGCATTAACAGCCATAATTGAAAATCAGAATGATCGGCGGTACATTGCGAATAGGTTGATGTTCCAACAGGATGGTGTCCCACCAGATTACGCATTACGTGTTCGACAATATTTAGATCAGACGTTTCCAGATCGATGGATTGGTAGAAGAGGTGCCATTGAATGGCCTCCAAGATCGCCAGATTTATCACCTTTGGATTTCTTTATGTGAGGTCATGTAAAAAGCAAAATTTATGCTACTCAGCCAACATCATTAGAAGACCTGCGACAAAGAATTGTGAATGAGTGCCTTCAAATATTGCAAAATGTGCGGCAACGTTTTGAGCAAAATCTTTATTATTGCATAGAGAGTCATGGTGGCCATTTTCAACATTTACTTGCTTAACGGGTTCATTCTTCGTTTTTAAATTACTTTGCTGCCCAATGTATTGATCTCCACTAATGATGATGTATTTATGTTTTTTCTCAAAAAGCTTTGCTTTTAATTCTCCCAGTATAATTTTTTCTGTATGTTGACCCTTTTTGCAATTATACATATTTATTGTCTAAATGAGTTACTGTAACGCATGGTTGTGATTGTGGAGAAATTTGCTTATTACTATTATTAATATTATTATAATTCAAAAGGGTATTAAATACCCCATTAACCTAAAAGTTCATTGATGCTGTAATAATCATTACCCTCAAGTAAACTCACAACTTTGCCAAAATTGTCAACATCTCTCATGAAGAACTCTTTGGCATAGCTCTAAAATGATTTCGCTTTCGTCCCGCAATATATTGCAGACTGTCAACGTGTCTCGCGCATGTTGCGCAACATGTTTCCGGCACATTCACTTCAATGTCTAGATGACGGTTTCGCATGTAAACGCGGCTTAGCGTTTGCCACCTTTCAGTAACTAATTTGCATCTCTACATAAATTTTACGGCAGTTTTAAACGGATTTCTATACCAATAACTTACAGAGATATCGTCGCTATACACTTTATCATTGTGTATTTGTTATTAAAATTTCCGTAAGGTATCGCGTGATATAGGTTGTTAAGGTGTATTATCACAGCAAGTCGTGTGAAAAGTGCATAACAGCAAAATTTTATACTGATCGGATTGAAATGACTTTATAATGTTTACACGTTTCGAACGTCTTTTTTAGGGAAAATTGTCATTCATGAAAATAATTTACAGAAATATAGCACTGACACCGAATATGCAACAATTTACAACCGTTTACCGGATACAGCTTCTTCCAGTCTACAATTTTTATCTCCTCCAAATGAGCAGAAATCTCTGAGACCTTGTAACATTATGTTCTACCGATTTTATTTCCACCGCCTCTGAATCAATTTCTACGATTACAAAATTTGGAAAATTTTGAAAATTTTGACAATTTTGAAAATTTTGAAAATTTTGACGTTGTTAATTTGGAATTAATTTTGAAAATTTTGAAAATTTTGAAAATTTTGAAAATTTTGAAAATTTTGAAAATTTTGAAAATTTTGAAAATTTTGAAAATTTGAAAATTTTGAAAATTTTGAAAAAATTAGAAAATTTTGAATATTTTGAAAATTTTGAAAATTTTGAAAATTTTGAAAATTTTGAAAATTTTGAAAATTTTGAAAATTTTGAAAATTTTGAAAATTTTGAAAATTTTGAAAAATTTGATGAATTTGAAAAATTTGAAAAATTTGAAAAATTTGAAAAAATTGATAGATTTGAAAAATTTGAAATTTTGATAGTATTGATAATTTTGAAAATTTCGAAAATTTCCAAAATTCACAAAATCACCAAATGTCAATTCTTCCAGAATTTCCAGAATTTTCTACATTTTCGAAATTTCCAAGAATTTCCACAAGTTTGCTAATTTTGTAAGTTTCGTTCTTTTTTGCCAATTGGGGCAAAGGCAGGCAAAAGAGTTCACCAAAGAACGAAGACCCGCATTTACAGAGGCCCTACACGGATTCAACAGGAAGGCCATAAGGGCCATAGTGGGTCTCTTAACAGGACACTGTATGAGGCTCTTGCGTCACCGTGAAGGCCTGGCAATGCTCACGGTTTCAGATAGTAGTTACCGCAGCTCTCCAACATTACATCGCCCGTAGGCGTGCGAAGTAAAAAAAAATCCTCAAATTAGCAGTATCCAAGGTCAACCGACACATCAAAACTCCCAAAGGGGACACCCGCATTGCGAACGGAAGAACAACGGTCGAATAACTCGGCCCCATTTACAGAAAAAACTCCCGTTCGGAAGTATTTTGTCTGCTTATGCGTCCTTGGCTCTACACACGGCACGTTTTGATCACTCTTAGAGAAAAACTTTCGCCGGCTCTTTGCCGAAGTGAGCCCTGGGGGTGTATTTCAAGTATATGGTGCCGGCAGAATGGCCAGGACTGACAAATTGAAATTGCCTTCTGTATTCCTGTCCTTTTTCCTACTACTATCGATTCCCTGTGCCCGATCGCCTTAGAAATTGTATAGAACGGTCTCGATAGAAACAGAAAAACAGTCTCCATGGGTGCAGTATTCGGTAATAGACAGTTTTCAAAATATTGATGTTTGAAAAAGGATCAAGGGTATACGTAACTGCCAAGGCCTTCGATAGCATCACTCATGAAAAACTCCTGCCTTAGAAAGTTTGGGATTTCAAGGAAGTAGTTATAATCTTATGAAAAGTTATTTAAAAAATGGAACACGATGTGTAAATATCAATGACTCACTAAGTGGGGACGTTACAGTTAGGTAAGGAGTTCCACAAGGAACAGTGCTGGGACCAGTTCTTATGGTCTATGTGTTAATGATCCTTTTATCAATGGTTATGCAGATGACATGGCTAATATGTATTCAGATAATGATTGGAATTCTTCAAAGAACAAAGTAGAATTGAATTTCCAAAAGGTAATGAGTTTTTCACAAAGAAATTTGCCAAATAATTTCAACAACTCATGAAAAACTCCTAACTGCCTTTGAAAATTTCGGATTTCCAGGAAGAAGTTAGAATCTTAGGCACAGTTATTTGAAAAATAGAACACAATGTGTAAATATCAATAGTTCACTAAGTGAATACGTTACAGTTAGGTATGGAGTTCCACAAGGAACAGTATTAGGACCAGTTCTTATGATCTATGTGTTAATGATCCTTTTATCATTGGTTATGCAGATGACATGGCTACTATGTATTCAGATAATGATTGAAATCATGCAATCAGTATTTTCACAAAGAAATTTGACATTTAATTTCAACAACTCATTAAAAACTCCTAACTGCCTTAGAAAATTTCGGATTTCGAGGAAAAAGTTATAATCTTATGGATAGCTCACTAAGTGAAGATGTTACTGTTATATATGGAGTTCCTCAAGGAACAGTGTTGAGACCAGTTTTTATAGTTTATGTATTAATGATCTTTTTAAATTGAATAATGATGGAAAAATGCTTAGTTGTGCAGATGACACGGCAGCTAATAAAAATGAAATTTTATCTAGGTAGGTGATACCTATTTTATTATAAAACTTACAAAGTTCTGCAATTTGTTAATCTCTGGAACCATATACAGCAAATAGTGTCTACGCGGACGTGACTATCGAGCCATTGGCGCTGTAAAGAAGAATGTCCACTCGGTAAAAATTTAATTTTCGAAATAGCGCCGGAAAGCCGAGTTCTTAGTTGCGCGCTACGAGCAGTCTGGTATGCTTACGACCTCAAAGAGGAACGGCATCTTTATAATTATTGGCCCTGGGTTCACTGTACAGCACAGCTTGACCATAGACGGTACGCCTCCAACAATCCTCTTTCTGGTAACACAAAGGACAAGACAAAACTTAGTCTAAGGCCCGTATCGTCAGTCGTCCCTACAATTGTAGGGCGCGTTTATGGCCTCCTTGATTGTCATACTCCTTTCTCTCCTTCAAAAATTTCTAGATTACACTTGTCCCGTGTCAGCGTCAGCGCTCTCCTATTGTAAAGATATGTTTTCTTTTTAAATTGTAGTAAATTGCAGGCTGATAAAACATGATATAACTCAAAAGCAAGCACAATTTGATGCAAATAGATGTTTGTGACATAACCTCAAAATAGAGCGCTGACACGGAGAAGTAGAAAACTATCACAATCAAGGAGGCCATAAAGGCGCCTTACAATTGTAGGGACGACTGACGATACGGGCCTAAACTACCCAAATGAGACTTAGACTTATGGCTTCCTTGATTGTCATAGTCTTTTCTCTCCGTCAGAAAGGCAGGGGTATTTCTAGATGTCTGGTGTTCCTTGTCAACGTCAGCGATCTCCTATTGTGAGGTTATGCTTTATTTTTGAATTGTACGAAATTTAAGGCCGTTAAGACAGATAGCATCAAAAGTGTGAACAATTTGATTCAAATAGATATTTGTGACATAACCTCAAAATAGAGCCCTGGCACGGAACAGTAGAAAATTATGAAAATCAAGGAGGCTATAAGGACGTCCTACAATTGTAGGAACTGACGATACGGCTCTTACGCCTTTAGAAATGTCAGATTGAATTTTTGAATACGACATATTTATTGATAAAATATCGGAGGCAAGCCTATTGGATCTGTCTATTGCATGAGTATCCAATACGCTTTGACGTCTACTGAGGCGATTAACAAGTTGTATCCTGTTACGTTGGCAATAACGAATAGGGTGTAAATCTGGCCTCAGGACCGTATTCAGAGCTGTTGCTGATGTTTATCAGAAAATTGTAATAGTACATCCGGGATTAATTTACTATGAGCTAAGTCAAGAGAACAGACAGCGTTCTTCTTTCCAGTAGCTGTAAAAATAATGTAGACACGTGTTTCTGGTTAACCGTCCTTCTTCATGTTAAATAATGCCTATAAAAAGCAATAAAATCTAACTCTTCAATTACATTGTGCTATAAGTATACTTATCTGTTGAGCAATAAGGATGTAATATTATTATATATCTTTTGATACGCCCCTGGTTACGTCGTTGTCCCTCTTCATTGCAATCCTCCGAATCCAAGTCACGCTTTTACCCTGGGATTCCCCTTCTAAGAGCGGGACAATGATTGAACTGCAACACCGTCCTCTGATATTTTATTCACTGAGGAACATTCGTCTGGAATTTACGGAAACGTCACACAGAATCAAGTGGTCCAATTTATAGTTTCTCCTTTTTTTTTCAGACAGAGACGTGACCGCTTATTACCGGATTTCTCCTCCCTAAAGTCGCTCGGGACGACCTCCAGCTCCGCGGCGGTTTGTTAACGCTATTTGTCCAAGGAATTTCCGCCAAGGATGGAGCTATTTCGCTTTTGTTTTTTTCGTCCAGCAGGGAGAAGACGGTATTCCAGGCGACTTTCACAAATTTCTCTTATTCACTAGCACACTCTCGGGCATGCGAGGGTTCATCCGGAAATAGGGTTCCCAATTTGGCAACACTGCTGCGCGCGGCTGTTCCCCACTGCCTATTCCCCGGTTGAGTCTCGCTGCGGCGCTCATTCTTGGCTCAGCCGCCGTTCAAGGAGCTCAGGTAGAGGCGTAGTTTACCAAGGAGGACTGGTATCTCTGTAATCGTTGCTTTAGATTTTCGAAATCTTTCACGATTGCAATATCATCGAAATGTCTAGAAATACGGAAGACATGTCTTAACTCCTGATTGGGGATCGAAATCATTGCTACGATAGATAGAAGCATCGTATTGTCTCTCCTTTCATGATGTCTTAACATTTTGATCACACACTTCCCATGAATAGTATTCTGTATAAAAGGAATATCCATGGGTCATCGCTCCCCACCAATTCCCTTATCTCAATACGAAAATGAATTATATATTTCTCGCCCAAGACCCTTGCTTTTCGTATTCCGCTCACAGAGATAACCAGTAAATAACAGCCTCTGCTTCTTTTTCCATAACCAGATAAATACACCTAAATATTCGATGAAAAATCCACCCTAATATTTTCGTTTCATCTGCGCGAAAAGATGCTCCTCCATCCCTGATCGGTCTTTTTAATGGCCGAGAAAAATCAGAGATAAGCGTTGATAAATCTGAGATAATTTGTAAGCATTCCGTTTCCAGAGACAAATATTTTATTTGACGCAGGAGATAAATTTTAGATAAGATCCGATTAATGGGTTCTGTAGCTATATTCCTGGTCGTTTCTTTTTTCGTCAGTTCTTCCGTCCACGAGCAGAGCTTTTCCAAGCACACTTTAAATATGCACGAAGCATCAGTGTATAAGAGGCTGTAGGTACCTAAACTAGAAACATCTTTACGTTATTTTGTATACCACATAGTCAGAACTTATTCCAAGAGATCAAGTTTTCGGTGACCTGGACAAAACAAACGGCTTTTTAGGGCGATTTTTGAGTTTCCAATAAGTATTTTTGACTATGTGTAACAGCTTTCAATAATTTCTATTCCGAAAATGGACCAGTTTTTAACATTGCCCTTTGAGATTCCATTTCAAAGACTCAATATTTCTGACATTTTTTCTTCTTTTGCAGCTTCAGAGCCAGATAGCTCGAACAGTCCGGGAGGCAGCAAATCCTCGAACTTCGTGGACTCGATGAAGCCTTCATCGACAGGTAGTCAAGGTCAAGGTCAAACGCAAAAGCCCTACTTTGACGACGTTGGACCCAGAAACGTCACAGCTGTTGTGGGACAATCTGCTATGCTTAAGTGTAGGGTCAAGCATCCTGGAGAAAGGACGGTGAGTCTCCAAGTTTTGTTACAGAAAACGCTGAAGGATGGAAAGATTGAGTTGTTATTGTTAAATTCTGTATATGGGCATTTGACGTGAGACTGCTTTCGCATTCATACCTACCGGCCCAATGGGAACAAATTTTTAGATATATGATTAACGCCCCACGTCCTGCATTTTCAGTATCCGATAGTATTCTATCTCACCTGTTGTTTGTTTTTTCAGCGATCCCGCTGTCCAATCGATAACGAAGGATGGAAGGGATGCTCCAATCTAATATACTCGTACGGCTGAAAATCTGTTTGTCCAATTAATCTCCAATAACTAAGGGTGCCAACCCTTGTTGGGATAGGGCGAACGAATTTGAATTCAATTGGGAACTGTACGTAGGTCGTATACAAATTAACATCCATCCATCCTTTGATGGTATCTGCAAAAAGGGGAGCAGTGGGGCATACCAAGCAGGAGGAAGTTTACATTTCCAGCTTGCTGATCCTTTAAGAAAATATCTTACCGTTAAATTGTTCGTCTGATGACAATGAGACATCCTTTTAATTCCTATGCCAAAAACAAATAAAAAAGCTCAAAAGATAAAAATCGCTTAACTATGATCATTTTCGGAATTTATTTAAAGGGGTGATTGTAACGTATTTAGTTTAAGTCAAAGACATTTGATCGTTAAGAACTTCTGATCCCGGTAATGACGGGAAATTTAAATGATAAAAGTCTGACGTTTAGTGTACTCATAATTCGAAATAAATAGTAGATTTTGAAAATTGACTGAGAGGCTGAAGAAATAAAATAACTTGAACATAGGTTACAAGGTTTCAGAGATTTATCCTCATTTTGAGACATTGTAACACTACGTTCCAATGATTTTTTATCCGCGACCTCTGAATCAATTTTCAAAATCTAACATTTTCCGAAATTTTCAACACTTGCCAAAATTTCAATATTTTGAAATTTTCAAAACTTCAAAAATTTTCAAAATTTACAAAATTTACAAAATTTACAAAATTTACAAAATTTACAAAATTTACAAAATTTACAAAATTTACAAATTTACAAATTACAAAATTTACAAAATTTACAAAATTTACAAAATTTACAAAATTTACAAAATTTACAAAATTTACAAAATTTACAAAATTTACAAAATTTACAAAATTTACAAAATTTACAAAATTTACAAAATTTACAAAATTTACAAAATTTACAAAATTTACAAAATTTACAAAATTTACAAAATTTACAAAATTTACAAAATTTACAAAATTTACAAAATTTACAAAATTTACAAAATTTACAAAATTTACAAAATTTACAAAATTTACAAAATTTACAAAATTTACAAAATTTACAAAATTTACAAAATTTACAAAATTTACAAAATTTACAAAATTTACAAAATTTACAAAATTTACAAAATTTACAAAATTTACAAAATTTACAAATTTACAAAATTTACAAAATTTACAAAATTTACAAATTTACAAAATTTACAAAATTTACAAAATTTACAAATTTACAAAATTTACAAAATTTACAAAATTTACAAAATTTACAAAATTTACAAAATTTACAAAATTTACAAATTTACAAAATTTACAAAATTTACAAAATTTACAAAATTTACAAAATTTACAAAATTTACAAAATTTACAAATTTACAAAATTTACAAAATTTACAAAATTTACAAAATTTACAAAATTTACAAAATTTACAAAATTTACAAAATTTACAAAATTTACAAAATTTACAAAATTTACAAAATTTACAAAATTTACAAAATTTACAAAATTTACAAAATTTACAAAATTACAAAATTTACAAAATTTACAAATTTACAAAATTTACAAAATTACAAAATTTACAAAATTTACAAAATTTACAAAATTTACAAAATTTACAAAATTTACAAAATTTACAAAATTTACAAAATTTACAAATTTACAAAATTTACAAAATTTTCAAAATGTTTCAACATTTTCAAAATTTCCAGAATTTGCGATATTTTGAAAGTTGCTTCTGAATTCTAAGTGTTTAAAATTTTAAAAATTCTCATTCATTTCCAAAATTTCCAAAATGTCACAAATTTTCAAGATTTCCAAATTTTCGAAATTTTCTAAATTTTCAAAATTTTCTAAATTTATAAAATTTTCAAGATTTTCACAATTTTCAAAATATCCAGAATTTTCGATATTTAGAAAGTTTTCAAAATTTTACAAAATTTACAAAATTTACAAAATTTACAAAATTTACAAAATTTACAAAATTTACAAAATTTACAAAATTTACAAAATTTACAAAATTTACAAAATTTACAAAATTTACAAAATTTACAAAATTTACAAAATTTACAAAATTTACAAAATTTACAAAATTTACAAAATTTACAAAATTTACAAAATTTACAAAATTTACAAAATTTACAAAATTTACAAAATTTACAAAATTTACAAAATTTACAAAATTTACAAAATTTACAAAATTTACAAAATTTACAAAATTTACAAAATTTACAAAATTTACAAAATTTACAAAATTTACAAAATTTACAAAATTTACAAAATTTACAAAATTTACAAAATTTACAAAATTTACAAAATTTACAAAATTTACAAAATTTACAAAATTTACAAAATTTACAAAATTTACAAAATTTACAAAATTTACAAAATTTACAAAATTTACAAAATTTACAAAATTTACAAATATACAAAATTTACAAAATTTACAAAATTTACAAAATTTACAAAATTTTCAAAATTTTCAAAATGTTATACATTTTCAAAATTTCCAAAATTTGCGATATTTTGAAAGTTTCTTCTGAATTCTAAGTGTTCAAATTTCTAAAAATTCTCATTCATTTCCAAAATTTCCAAAATGTCAAAAATTTTCAAGATTTCCAAAATTTTCGAAATTTTCTAAATTTTCAAAATTTTCTAAATTTACAAAATTTTCAAGATTTTCACAATTTTCAAAATATACAGAATTTTCGATATTTAGAAAGTTTTCAAAATTTTCAAAATCGTCTGATTTTAAAAATGTTCTAAATTTTCAAAATTTTCATTTTTTTCAACATTATCAAAATTTCACAGACAAATTAGTCTCATTGGAAATAACAAATAATCCACCCTCCAGCCGCACTCAACCCCAAATAACGTTTATAAACTTGTAATAATGTAGATTACAAATTACTTCTTGACCTTGTTCGGCCGAGACATCCCAAATAGCCCAATTTTATTGCTCCTCCCACCACAGACGCCAGGAAAGCCCAACGGTGTCCCTATGACGAGGAACCCCAATTAAACAGTTGCATAATCTGAGGAAGCGTTCTCGGGAACACTGGCAGGCGACAAAACTTGAATAGGAATGGAAACGGGATCAGTTCAGGTCAATATAACTTTTGCTGGGATTATTGAGATTTAGTTTCGGCACTCGCGATTGTCCTGACGTTAGGGAGGTGGGAGATCCAGATTTATTGATCAGGATGAGCTCAACACGACCACCGGATTCTAATTGCCTTTCGGTTTGAGGGATCGGTTGAGGTTGTTTTCGTTCCGGGATATAAGATGCTTTAGTAAATAAGGTTTATTACAGTTGATGATTTTGTCATCTCATAATATTAGTTGCAAAATTGGCAAAAAACACTTTATATAAGGTTGTCCTCAAATTTTCGACTTTAAACGTCGTATAGATCTTGAAAAATTAGTTTTTGACTAGTATACACCAAAGTCTCAAGATTACCGAGATATTAGGCGTTGGAAAATAAGCCAAGCCTCAGAATGCTACCGATGCTTCGCAAGTGCATACAGATCGATTTTCAAGGTCGTGCGTTTTTTGTTCTTGCTAGCTCGCCGTCTTCTTTTGTCAGAAAAAATGAATAACATAGTGTACCTCAGATAAGAGGAAAATCCTGTTTCAACAAAATACAAAATATTGCGAAAAAACTACGCCAATTTGTGCGAAAGCCAGACAGTGTTATTAATGCTAGAGACGGAGCTTCCTGGCCTGACATGTGAGATACCACAGCCGAAAATGCACCGCCATGTGAACGCCAAGCCTTATCTAGAAGACAATAAATTACGGCGATTCTCTGACCCACATTTTACCAAATATTCAACTGTTTGCTACGGAACCGGTTTCATCTACAAAAACAAACCTAATACGTTCCCCTGGCATCTTTGCTAAGACATACGTCAACACCCATTTATTTTTTTAAAAGAGTAAAAGGATTTCTTAAAGCTTATAATGGAAAACGCATCAGTAGCTTATAATAATTCATTGTACATGAGCAAAAGCAGCGGATTGAATCTTTTGAGTTTTGTCAGTCTGAAGCACTAAAAGAAATAAAATCAATTTTTCTGCAGGGTGATATTGTTATATTAAAGATATTGTTATGTTCCATGCATTTAAGCTAAAACTTAGAAATGATAGAGGATTTCAAGATTAATTTTTATTTCAAGTGAAATCCATGGCATACCATCAATGTCTGCCAAAATAGGAGTGAACGACACTGACGAAGATTAAAGAAAATGTGGTACCGTAAAAAATACCGTCTGATATACAGGGTGGCGCATTGAAAACGAAACAGACGCATTTACTGGCAGCTCAGTTTTTTTTAACGCTCGAGAGGGACACAAGTTTGGCAAAAGATCACGTTAACACGTGCAGCCTCCTGGGCGGGGGTGACACCTACCCTAAAATCTTAAATGGAAAGGGGGGTCGAATGATACATTATTTCAAAGGTCTTTCAATTCCCTTTATAATGATGTAAAATACATGAGCTCCAGTTCAGTAGTTTTGAAGATTTATTGATTTAAAGCTTAAAGTAGACTTTAATAGGTACATCAGATTAGTTTGTACTACTTTCAGAAGAAATTTGACTAAAAGAATGTACTTAATAAGTAAATGCTTTTCTTCACTACGCCCACGGTTTGTTTATCATTTTGTTCTTGAAAATAGCTATTGGAGCGTTTTTTTGTGGCAAAAAAGTTATTTGTTGAAAAGCATGAAACAATGTAAGCTGTCTTATTCAGCACAATTTCCTAGTAACCTTCAGAAAGACATTGACAATAATTACTTGAAGGTCATTTGGAGCTGCGGAACAATGCTGACTCTCAGCATAGATATCGACTGGATCGTAGTTGAAGTTAAGTTAAATGCCGTCACAACCGATGTGTTCCATTATTCTGCTACCACCATTATCGAATGCAAAATAGTCCATTCATTCAACCCTCCAAATATCCATTACAATTTAAAACGCAACGCCAGTTGTGCGAAATCACGGCCTGTAAAATAAATTCTCTTCTACCTGTCCCTATGCATATTCATTGGCTAGAAATGTTGTCGTTCGCTCCTTTTTGATGTTGCAGCATCCATCAGATCATTGGAACTGGATGCTCGTGATTAACTGTACAGGTTTCAATTTTTGGTGTTCTGTGCCGTGCTGAATGAGCATCATCGACAGTTAGTTGATTCAGAGCAAAATCAGTGTGAAATTTGAATTATTATAGGTTTTTACAAGTTGTCATTGCACTGTGTATATTCACGTTCTGCTCTGGTATTAAAAATTTGGGAGATCCTTATAGGCTTTGGTAGTTGGTTCTGGCATATTCTCAATGATTGGTCTTTCACTGACATCAACCAACTTCCAACACTACCACTCCAAACAATCTCTGGAAATCAGCAAGAGTCTCTGAATCGTTGTAACACTATGATCCAAAGATTTTGATATCCCCTCTGAATCAATTTTCAAAACCTAAAAATTTCCGAAATTCAGTTTTCAAATTTTTAAAAATTTTAATAATCCTCAACATTCTCAGAATTTTCAAAACTTTCATAATTTCCGAATTTTTCACAATTTTCGGTATTTCCAAAATTTCCACAATTTCCAGATTTTCAACTTTCCGAAAATCACCGAAATATCCAATTTTTCAGAATTATCAAATTTTCAACATTTTCAAAGTTGCGGAAACTAGTTTTAGAAATTTCCAAAATTTCGAAAATTTTAAATATCATAAGGACTTTGAAAATTTTAAAGATTCTGTAAATTTTTGAAAATCGTGTGAATTTTGGATATTTTGAAAATTTATATCACCTTGAAAATCATGAGAATCTAAACATTTCCGAAATTTACAGTTTTCAGATTATCAAAATTTTCAACATTTTCGAAATTTTCATTATTTCCAATATTTTCACAATTTTCGGTATTTCCAAAATAATTTCCAAAATTCCCAAAATCACCAAAATTTCCAATTTTCTAGAATTGCCAAAATTTTGAAGATTCTGAAAATTTTGTGAATTATTAAAATTTCATAAATTTCAAAGATAAAAATTTTTAAATAGAAATTTTGAATTTTTCAAGAATTTCGAATATTTTTGATATTTTTAAAATCTTGAAAATCTTGGAAATTTTGAAAATATTGAAAGTTTGGATATTTTGAAAATTTATATTACCTTGAAAATCATGAGAATCTAAAAATTTCCGAAATTTACAGTTTTCATATTATCAAAATTTTCAACATTTTCGAAATTTTCAATATTTTCACAATTTTCGGTATTTCCAAAATAATTTTCAAAATTCCCAAAATCACCAAAATTTACAATTTTTCAGAATTGTCAAAATTTTCAACATTTCCAAAATTTTTAAGATTCTGAAAATTTTGTCAAGTATGAAAATTTAAGAAATTTTGAAAATTTTGGGACATTTTGGAAATTTTGAAAATTATGGAATTTTTTAAACAGGAAATTTTGAATTTTTCGAGAATTTCAAAAATTTTGGAGATTTTGAAAATCTTGAGAATTTCGGAAATTTTGAAAATATTAAAAGTTTGGATATTTTGAAAATTTATATTCCTTGAAAATCATTAGAATCTAAAAATTTCCGAAATTTAGTTTTGAAATCATCAAAATTTTCAACATTTTCGAAATTTTCATGATTTCCAATATTGTCACAGTTTTCGGTATTTCCCAAATAATTTTCAAAATTGCCAAAATTTCCAATTTTTCAGAATTGTCAAAATTGTCAACATTTCCAAAATTTTGAAGATTCTGAAAATTTAGTAAATTATGAAAATTTTAAAAATTTTCAAAGATAAAAATTTTGGAATAGAAACTTCGAAAATTTTGGGACATTTTGGAAATATAGAAAATTATGGAATAGTTAAACTGGAAATTTTGAATTTTTCGAGAATTACGAAAATTTTTGAGATTTTGAAAATCTTGAGAATCTTGGAAATTTTGAAAATATTGAAAGTTTGCGAATTTTGGAAAACTGCAGTTTTCGTACACAACCTAGAACCGTACTATGATTCTGATCTTATGATGCTATTGCAGCATATACAGGGTGTCCGCAAAGTTGGAGTTTTCCTTTTCAGAAACAACCACCCTTGAAATAACAAAGGTAATGTGTAGTGAAACGAGGGCGACCAAGTAAAAAAAGTAAAGGAAAAAGTACTCACTCTCCAGTTGACGAGAAGGGCTAAGTACGTCTCTGCCCGAAATCATACCGCTCCAACAGAAAATGAAATCAGCTGAAGCGCTACCGAGTAGACGCAGAAATCACATTGATTGTCTTACACTTAATGGCACATCTTCTAACAAGGAAGGCAAAATGTTGCGTAAAAAGTCTAGGTATTGCATCCCGTCCAATCGATTTGGGAGAATAAATGGTCCAATGAGCATACCGTTCACCATGCCAGCCCAAAGATTCACCGAAAATGTTTGTTGAAAATGTGCCCGACGGACAGCGTGCGGATTTCCTACTGACCAAACATGAGTGTTGCGAAAATTATTCACCCCATTACGCGTGAACGTAGATTCGTCTGTCACCAATATGCACTTCAAAAAGTCCGGATTATTGTCATGTTGATGCAACAACCACTCACAAAACCGCACTCTTGCTGGAAAATCGTCAGGTTGAAGGGCTTGTACACGTTGGAAGTGAAACGGATACAGCCCCTCTTCACGCAGCATTTGCCACACTTTAGTTTTTGATACTTGCACTTCTCTAGCCACGTCTCTAGTGCTTGTTGAGGGATTCTCGTCTACGCGATTACCTCTACGTGCGTGACCGTAACCGTCGGTTGAAGGTTGCATACTAACCTGACACACTGACCCCGACCCAGTTCTGCCGTCGGGTTGAGCCTTGTACCAATCGGTGATGTCCCGGGTCGCGGCTACAGGACGGTATTCAGATATTTTTGATGTTGCAGAGCCCTTTATCTCGGTTCCCTTAAGACATTGGTGTATATGGTACTAAGAAAAATTGCTTATGTTTTCAAGATCTACACGTCGTATAAAGGAAAACCCCAACTTTGCGGACACCCTGTACTGATACTATGACTTGTCTATGCAGTCTCTAATGATACGACGGTTTGTCTGTGAAATCTTTCCATATAATTTCCAATGCTACTATGATTTGTCTATGCAGTTCATGAACACAATTTCCAATGTTACTATGGAGCTTTTCACCATCTCCATAAGTCACTAAATGACAAATCTTGATAGTAGTAACCAATCCATCAGGCTGAAAAAAGATACCCAGCAAAACAATAAATCAATTTCTCATACG